GCCACATGATATGCATGTGGTATGTTCCCTGGGTCTGATGGTGCATTTAATATTATATTATGTTTATTTAACACTGGGCCTATTTTCCACTGTAATAAATGTGTTAGTATACCTGACATCAAGTCATTGGATGAAAAATATCATACTGGATGTAATAATGAGTAGTTTAAAAAAGGCACAAACCCCAATAGTCCTCAAGAAATAACTATAAGAAAACGAAAACCCATAGGACTCTCATCCCAACAAACCTCAAAATGTAAACAAAAACTTTATATATTATTTTAGTTGACATTTTTTAAAAATTAGTTTTGGACACATCCATAAACAAACCAAATCCATATAATTTATTAGGTTACATTAAACAACGTGTATTACAAAAAGACAAAATAACATAAAGCCACAACTATTATATAAATTGCATATAAAGTATTACAAAAGTGCCAGATAATTGTCATAAAAAATAAAATGTGAAAAGACCTTTCATCAAACATCTGTAAAAGCTTAGACAGAAATCGGCCACAAATGGTCTTTTGTATGATAAACAATCAGTTGATAGGAACCCATCGTTTTTGTTTTTTTACTGTACTCCTATCTGAATTTCCTCAAACGGCCAGGCTGGGAAACTTTTTTCGAATGGTACAAAAATCGATGGATTAGTGGTGTTTTCGTACGGAAATAAAATCGCAACATGAACACTGCACATGCGCAAATGAAAATCCGTTCTGTCAATCGACGAAATTCGGTGAGTTAGTATTGCTAACGAATGGTTATCGAAACGAATTTGGTCTGTGCATGATGGGGTATTCGAGCGGAAATCGAACATCGGTTCGATGGCAGCACGAAAAAAAATCTAACGATAAACGCAGAGTGTTTGGCCAGCTTTAGGGAGAATTGTATTTTTATTGCATCACTTTGTTTTTCTACATATAAACTAGGGATGTACCGATATTGATACCGATATTGGTACCGATACCGATACTAGTATCGGTACTCGTACTCGCTCAAATGCTCCAATGCCTAGCCTGATACTTCCAGTATCAGGAATCCGTTCAGCGCGTCATTACACACTGCCCGGCTTCCTGACTGGCCTGGAAGCCTGCTCAATGCTCTCTCGTCACTTGTGTAATGACACGGCGCCCGACTGATTGATCGGGAAGCCGGCTTCATGTTCCCTCGTCACCTCATGATGAGGGAGCATGGAGCCGGCTTCCCGGCCAATCAGGAAGCCGGGCGCCGGAAAAAAAATATCGGTACTCGTACTCCATACCGGTATCGGTGCATCCCTAATGTAAATGTTGTGGTGTTCAGACCCAACATTGTACACCATAATAACAGGTTTTGAATACTTGCATCTTTGAAAATGTTAGGCGCTGGGTTTTTTTCAATTTTCAACACTCATTTCACCCTTTTTCCCTGTTCACTGGCCTGTAGATCACCACTATGAATACATGGGAAGAAGGTCAGCAAATTCAGGGGGAAAGGGTTAAAAAAATTAAGGTATTTAACCCCATAAGGACCCTTTTGCTGCCAAGGCCTTTTTTTTGTTTATTTGCACACATGGTATAATCCACATTTTAGGCCTGAAAATTACTTCAAACCCCCAAAACATTATATATTTTCTGAAAGCCAATGCCCTGTAGAATGAAATAGTGGCAGTTGCAAATTTTTAGGTTGCACGATATTGGCGCAACTCTTTATCAAACCCAAAAGTTTTGTGAAAAATGCACTTAAAGCGACATTAAAGTCAAATTTTTGTTTCCCTCCCCCCAATGTTAATTAAAGCACTTACCTTAAATGATGTCTCTTAATCCGATCTTCTTCTTTTTTCCTGTCATTCTCATCTGTCCCTCCAGCGCTGCTGCGGGTCTCCGATCCAGCGCTGACTCCATTGTGCCTTGCTGGCACTTCCTGTCTCACGGTCTCTGCATGCGTCAATAGACTTACCTTGTGTCTCTCCTCGTCTCCCGGCCGAAAATGTGAACTGCGCATCCGCCCGCCCCAAAAAACTTTATTTTTACACTTTTTGCATATATCTACTGCTCGCTAGCAGTAGATATATGCAAAAACACAGGAGGCTTTAATTATACTTTAAGTTAATTTTAGTGCCCCAAAACACAAGCTACGCATAAATATTATCCCTAGAATTATTGCTCTCACTCTGGCGTGCGCGGGGATACCCAACATGTGTAGTGCAATCGACGTTTTCATACATAGGCGCACCCAACGTGCGTTTGTGTGAATGTGCTCACGGGGGGCTTCAAATATATATTTCAGGCTCACAAGGCTGAGCAAGAAAAAAGTGCTCAAATTCCCCATCTATGTTAAAACAGTGTGGCTGGGGGAATCCCTATTGTCAGAATAGCCCAACAATGACTGCAGCTGATTGGTTGCAGCTGAAAATGTTTGAACTCTACCCTTTCACAAAAGTCGAAGTTGAAAAATTAACTTTTGTCGAATGAAGGGGTGCCAACAAGGCCACACACTGGTCAAATTTCAGCCGAGTCCTCCTGAACTTGGCAGGCCACAATTCGAGCAATGTATTGCAGGCTTAAAGTGACAATAAACTCATGAGTTAAATCTATAGAATTCCAGTGGCTTAACTATTAGGGCCCCTTTCACACATGTGCCTTCAGTTTCAAGCCGCAAGGGATTTGTGCACGGATCTCCTGCTGATCGGAACGGATGTCACCGTTGTGATATCAGTGTGCATCCAGTTTTTTCGGAACTCAAAATAACCGGACCCATGTTTGTCTATGGGGAGTCAGATGTAAACAGATTATCAGATTACCCCCCGATGCTACATGATCAGGTCAGTAGAAACTGAATTCTGATCCGTTTGTTTATCCGGACCATGCTGGAGTCGGGAGTAACCGGATGTAAACGGAAGTACGTATGTTTAGATCTGGCTGCCCATAGACTAAAGGTGGCCATACACTGTACAACCGTAAAGTACTTAAAAAAACGTACGATCTGCCCATCTTGGACAGGCAGATCATACTCTCGATCATCGCAAGCCTGCCCCGCTGAGTGGCGGGCTTACGATGACTGTAATGAGGGGCGGCTTACGATGACTGCAAACAGGCAGTGTGCGCACACCGGCCCGTTCGGCAGTTGTCGAACCAGCAGGCCACTAACTCGCCGAGAATTGTACGATTCCCGGCGGGTTTTCTAGCCTGCTGGTTCGACGGAAGACGTGCGACTGTACAGTAGAAACGGTCGCACGCCTTCCATACACTGCACGATTCTCGTACGATCGCGGGATTTCCGGCGATCCTCGTACGAGAATCGTGCAGTGTATGGGCACCTTTACATTGGGCTTCCGATCAGAGCCACCTGAAAATTGGACAGGTGGACCTGATCACAAAGCTAGAGTGAAAGGGACCTAACAAAAATGTATCTTATTTGTGTATTACTCGGCTGCAGATCCACAAATCATCTCTGAATTGGTGCAGACACTGTCCTTTCTTCTGGAGGGTGGCTGCTTTTGTTCCCCATGGTCCGTGTCTGTGTTGTAAAGTCGCTACCACTCCAAGCTCGCTCCTGTGATGGACTACAAACTCAATACAAATGAGTAAACTAAACAAGAGATTGTTCCAGGGCCAGGATAGCGGCATTGAGTTAGCAGCTTCCATACCCCAAGGAGCCATTTAATGTCCATTGCAACCCTTAAAATCCACCAAAAACCTCCTAATTTACCATTCCCAATTGATTCCAATGCATTTTCTCTCCATATTCATCCATCCCAGTAGCGAGCTTGGAGCAGTGGCTACTTTACAACACAGGAAAAAAGAAAATAGCACTGCGCTTCACAAACTCAAAAAATATTCCTAAAATGTGAGAAAAATAGTATGGAATGTGAAATTGTCACAAAGTGATAAAACTTTTGTGTCATACACTACACCTGTGTTGCACAATGCCTGTGCTGATGATAGTAAGAAAAAAAACTTGTGGTCTAATGGTCTAGACACTATAAACCATAATAAACATAGGAAAAAAAAATATATGTGCTACTACATCTCATGAAATGTGTACATATAGAAAATCCTGTGTTAAATCTCACAAGTGATGTACAACTCCCTCAATCTACATAACCACATGTGAAGTCCATTACTTCTGGATACAATAAAGTCCTTGAAATATGTGATGATATATCTTCCAACTTTTATAAGTTGCGCAGTGCCATTTTCTTTTTTCCTATTTTGGGTGTACTCACCTATTAAGCACAGCTGCTCTTAGAGTGTTATTTGATTCGTAGCACAGTTTTTTTTCTATCTAACATTACTTTACAACACACACAGGGACCACGAAGAACAAAGTTAGACATTCTGCACATTAAGGCCCCCTTTACGCTCTGATGTAGTGCATTACTGTACACCTATCAATGGGCAGTATTTCCCATGTTAATGAATGCGGAGTTATAACAATGCAAGGCAACAGATGGGAAAAACATTTCTGCAGATTTGTTGATGCTGTGCACCTCAAAGTGCAGTGTAATGTGCTGCAGGACAAATTCATTGCCACCTACGGTGCTTTATTTAGTGGTAAATGAATAGCACCATGTGCATTTAGCACATGCATTTTCCCATGCATTACTGCAACAGATTGGCGTGGAGCCAGTCTCAGATTAGTAATTTTAACTTTTTTTCCATTATTAGTATTTTTCTTTTCTTCAGCCAATTATAAATACTGAGTCAACAGGTAACAATTCTGTTTAATATAGGCAAGGGATAGAGGAAAAAAGCAGTATTCAGTAAGAAGGTAATCCACCACAAGCAGTATGATTTCTTGCCTTCATCTGTAATAAACAGAAACTTGACTGGTTGATGCAGTGCTATATACTACATGTATATTGTCATAGCCTGCAGTCCTTTGTTGAATTAGTCTGGTATTTCTGGCAGGTTGTCCATGTGTGTGCAGTAATGTTTGGTATGTCCCTCCTCCTGGTTGATGTCTCAGGTGTTCAGGCCATGCCCCCATGGTTAGCTCAGGTAGAACCTGTACACACATAGACAGAAGACCTGAGGACTTTCTCTGCTGTACCTGCTCATCTGGAACAATGCATGTCAACATCCCTGTCACAGAGGAGCTGGTGGATGATCTTGGGGGACGTTATGTGGTTAAGTAATCATTTTTCTTTACACTTTATTTTGATATGACCTGATTTCAAGGACTGGTTTAGATAACTACCAAATCCTGACACTGGTATCAGGAGCCAAGCTTGCGTTAAGTTCGTGTGGAGAGGAGGATTCTATAGACTGTAGAAAAAACTCTCCATGCTGACCATTCTCGCCCAGATAAGACAGTCATTGCATTTTTAGAGCTGTCCATACACCTCAATTTCTTTAGTCCCATCAATGAACCCACGTTTCATTTCTGCTCTAATACCCCATCACGCACAGACCAATGTAGATTTTGTTTATTGTTCGTTAGCAATACTAACTAACTGAATTTCGTCGATTGACAGAGTGGATTTTCGTTTGCACATATGCAGTGTTCATGTTGCGTTTTGTTAGTTTTTTTTCCCCCCCGTATTAAAATGTCGCTAATCCATCGATTTTCATACAATTCGACAAAAGTTTTCCAGCCTGACCGATCAAGGAGATTCAACCAGTTGTACAGTAATTATGATCGTTCACTTCCCATCAAATGGCCGATTATCGCACGAAAACCCGTTCGCTTTCGCAAGGTGTATGGGCACCTTAGGGCTGAGTAATATTTAGGGGGATAGCAGTTTGACAGATTAGAAAGTCTTGTCCAATAATTATTGTTTTCCTTCTGTTATTAGAGATGTCTACAGCATGTCCTACCCCTCCTCTCTATGGGCATTACGTGGACCACTACCAGATGCATGGTTAAGGCTGATGGGGTCAGGCTATAACGAACATATCTGACCATCTTCTAGTGTCTATGGCCATTTTAAAGGAGCATGAGCTCTGATACTGGGTTGGGAAATGTTAGTTGCCTGGCTGTCATGTCACTCATAGGGAACACACATGCAGATAGACACCTACATTTCCTGAGATGCATGCCTGTTCTGAGGTCGCTGTTCGCAAATAGCCACAAATAAAAATAAAAAATGCTTAAAAGTCCAGTTTTGCAGCTCTTAGACTGGGGAGGCAACTCCAGCCTTGCTTTAACTATAAATCCTAACATGCCTCTGGGAGTCATGCCTGTAACTGTCAGTCTTATAATAGCTCATGGGACTTTTAGTTCCACAACAGCTGGAGGGCCGGAGTTTCCCAGCCCTGTCTTGGACGAACAGTGGGGAGTGTTAATGAGAACTAAAATGCATAAACTAAACAATGCACCAGCATAGTGTAGCAATTCTTCTTTATAGTATAATTACCTGTTTAGATACTTCCAGTTAAGACATGCCTTTCAGGCGCAGATGGAGGGTACACACTGCTCCCTTACAGTTTTGCCCCTGGAATCCATACTTAGGCGTGAGTGTATAAGGAAACCTTTATCGCTAGTGTACCAGGCCCTGCCGGCCGCGGCAGGTGTCCATAGATTCCCTTGCAAGCTGAAGTGGGTAACGAACGTGCCGGATCTCTCTGATGATGCCTGGGAGGAGGTGTGGGACTACCCCTTTTTCCACTTGGTTTCTGTTAGGGACCGGCTCGTACAATTTAAAATCCTGCATCGAGTTTACTACACTCCTGCACGACTTGCGAGGATCTACCGTGATACCTCACTCTCCTGTTGGCGTTGTTCAGCACAACCTGCAGACTTCCGTCACATTTTTTGGGACTGTCCGGGGATTGCAAGATACTGGACATTAGTAACAGACTTCATCTCACAGGTAATAACACTTCCTGTTCAACTAACTATGTCAGTGAGCTTATTGGGGTTCACTGAGCAGATCGCCCCTACTACTGCTTTGCGCATACTGACTGGAGTATTGTTATTCTACGCTAGGAAATTAGCGGTAATACAATGGAAACGGAAAGACCCTCCCACTCTGGCGCTCGATCTGGCACACGTTTCTTGGGGTGGAGGGGGGTTTCTGTTACGAAGGAACGGCAGGTGGAGTCATGGAATGTTAATAATTAAGTATGTAGCCCTACTGCTGTAGGAGAATGTTGTTACTATGTATTTTATATGCAAAATTGAATAAAAAGTACTTTAAAAAAAAAATAGTATGAATAAAATAAATGCGCTCACTATTGGAAGCATTGCCCACAAAACATATAAATAGGGAAAACCTGTAACTAAGAACTGCTTGCAAAACCACGAAGGTGGATGTTCTACTGGGAATGGTATGCACGCCAGCAATGGAACGCAGGAGCCTTTCACCTGATCTTCCGTCTCCTCTTTTTCTTCAGTCTCCTCAATGTGCTGTAGGATCAGAATGGTAGCCAGATAACTAGCATTCTCAGAAGGAGGTCGGTCCTAGTACCTCCCTGTTTTTCTCCAATGACACTATAGCTTTATAAGAGGGTGTGGGATGAGCATCTGTGACATCTAAAGCTGTGTCCTTCAGTAACACAAACTGGAGTGGCTGTTTGGGTTTTTTAGCACTAGGAATCTCTGTACATGGGCATTCGCCACCAATTATGTGGTGTAAATCTGTAACATATTACAACCAAAAATTAATGATACTAGTCTGTGAACATAACCCTTTAGCCCTCATTCACACTAGAAAAGGCCGGCACGTACAGCTCCGTGCTGCATGCACCGCCGTATCAGGCAGCTCCCGGGAAGGACAGGTGCTGCATGTGATTAGTACGAAGCCCACATCCTTCTCTATGGGAGTACGCGGCCGTACGCCGCCCTACGCTCACCCCAAGTGCAGGTCTGTGCGGGTGTCCCGGCTCCGACGCAGACAGGATCCAACCTGTCAGCGTACGAGTACGGGGGTGGTGAGCGTAGGGCGGCGTACGGCCGCGTACTCCCATAGAGAAAGACGGGGGCTGTGTACTAATCACACGCACCACCTGTCCTTCCCGGGAGCTGCCCGCTACGGCGGTGCACGCAGCATGGAGCTGTACGTGCCTGCCTTTTCTAGTGTGAATGAGGGCTTAAAGGCCATCTCCGAACAAACAAAAACCTTACCCTTACATTGGGGCTACCCCCCACACGCACATTGCAAGGGTTAAGTGCTCGTTATGATCCTGAATACCCTTGAGCGTATTGGTTTTTAAAGAGAAGTTGGATAAGTGAAGATTTGCATATGTAAAGTAAAGTGTGTATATAATACTAGATTAAGATATGACGAACAATATGAATGTATAAAATGTTTATAAAATTATGATGTAAAATGGTGAATGTCATAAAATAAGATATTCAAAAGAAAAAAAGTGCTCGTTATGTCTCGGGGACTCTATTAAAGATGTTTTACTTACCTTCCTTTACCTTTTCCTTATCCCACTGGCTCCATCAAAACTGCAACACCGCTCTTTGCAGCCTCTTCTTCCCTTTGCCTTGGTGGTCTAAGGACTGCTGTGGTCATCACATCTTATGCAGGTTCCATAGATTTACACTAGATTTGAGAACATCAAAAGACTTTCCAACATCCGGGATAGAAAGGGAAAAGAAGTAAGCAATGACCACTGTGGGAGCTGGGATCAGGTAAATATTTAAAACAGCTTTGAGTCCCCTAAGAAAAACAGGAGCACTTACCTCTTGCAATGCGGCGGTAGCCCCACTGCAAAGGTAAATTTTTCTACAATCTGGAGTTATTCTTTAAGCTGGTGACAGGGTCTCTTTAATAACCTGTACTATACACTACATATTTTGACATGTCTCTTTTTGTAGGCTATTAATTCACATATCGTCTTACCCAGGGGTGGGCAACTCATGCCCTCCAGCTGCTGTGGAACTACAAGTCCCATGAGGCATTTCAAGACTGACAGTTACAGGCATGACTCCCAGAGGCAGATGCATGTAGGGATTGGTAGGTAAAGCACAGCTGGAGGGCCGGAGTTGCATATGACTGACCTCATATTGAAAAAGAAATATCAAATGTTTGAAATTTATTTTTTTAAATTCCTGGAACCATATAGCTGAGGCAGTGTGAACTTTACATTCTTGGTACATCTCCAGCATTTCTAGCATAGCAGTGCTTCTTCTTTTCAAAAGCACTTTTGTGTTTTCTTCCAGAGCATTGCTGACTTTATACAATGTCCTTCCTTATGTCGCTTGTGTTGGGGCTGATTGTGTTAGTATAAGGCCGCATTCAGACTAACAGCGCAGCGTACCAAAAAAAGGTCAGGGTTAGTAAATGGAGCCATTCACATGGTTCATAATTTGACTTCATATTGCAACAATTTACCTATTTTGTACAAGGAAGCAAAAAGGTATATTCTGGTCAGATTATTTTGCAGGATGCCTGTGTTAAAGGGTACCTATGGTGAAAAAAATAAATAAGTATTTGTATATTGAATTTCCATAAGAACCATATCAATCTATACATTTGTAATCTTATTTGTTTAGGGTGCCCATAGAATGTACTTCCTGAGTGCAGTGACACAATTCACTCAGCCCTGTGAATATGCACTTCTTCATGGAGCCTGCCTTCTGAACTACAACTCCAGGTCTGAAAAATGTAACATGATCATTGCTGGCTGGAAGCAATGCATGATGGGATATTTAGTCTTGAGAAATCAAGATTGCATAACATCAAGCAGTAGGAAGAGATACAAAGCACACTGGGAATCCAGTAAGTTGATGAAAGTGATGGGCAGATGGAAGGCAGCACTCACTACATAAAAGGGATATTTTTAAAGTAATGTGCATTACCAGGATAGTATACAGTATGGCGTGACTTAAGAACTCCTTTAACTGATGTATATACACAAACACCGTGAGGGAAAAATGCATATAAATTGAAGTAAAAAAAACGAATTTTACATGCTTCAATGTAGGAGGAAAACCATAGCTTCCAACTGTCCCTCTTTTGGAACGAAAACCCTCTGTTCTTGTTTCTCATTTTGGTCTTGTGTATTGAACGCTATAAATATTTACTAGGTAACTACCTAAAGTGTTATACTACAGGGGTCTATGTATAAACAATTCACAGAGCCATTCTCCCTGCAAATCTCTGTGAATGTTCATTCTGTGCGAATAGAGGCAAAACAAATGTTCTTATTCTATTTTCATTTTAGTCTGAATGTAATGTCGCGTTATGGCCACTAAAAAGAGCTGAGGAGCAAAAAAACTGTTTTCCCTACGTTATGCTATAAAACGTTTCTTATTACCCAATTTTCTTGGACAAATATTAAAGAAGGGGGTCACATCGTGTAAATAGATACCAACCATGTCAAGCCTTTAAAATTGCAGCCCTGGAATTATTGCTTGCACTCCGATGTTTGCAGTAATATGTAACATGTGCAGCACAATTGTCGTTTTAAAACGTACGCACACCTGACAAGTGGTTTAATTTGTATGTGTGTGTACATGGGGATGGGAAACTTCAAAAAAAAAAATGCTTGCAGGTTTTTTTTACGTGACTTTTTAAAAACTCCTTCCTTTTTATTTGTATTTATTTTTTTACACTTACCTTTTATTGCTATCACATAGGGGGTAACAAGCCCCTGATGTGATAGCACATATACAGTGACAGGTCCTCTTTATTAGACCACTAATGTCACCTATGGACCCCAAAAAGGCTGATGAAGCAGAGATCTGCTTCACCAGCTGCTTCTCCAGGTATGGCACCCGGAGAAATGACAGCTGAAAGCACAAGTGATGTAATACGCATCACTTGCACATTCAGTGACTGGACGTGTGCAGATCTCCCTCTGATTGAGGTACAGGGACCCGCCATACCAGTCCCAGACCTGCACGAGGGACAGCAGAGTCCGGGATAGCCAGCAGCAGAGAGGGGGAGCCTCATACTCCCATGCAGCATACAAGTGAACGAATGCTTGTATGTAAACAGCCATCGCTGACTGTTTATAATGGTTACTGTGCCTGATCACGTGCGTGCATGGGGGCACACACGAGCAGGAAAAAAAATGCAGTTTATTCACAGCCACCCGCTGACTTGAGCATGCCATCCATCCATCCATTTATATAAAATTGGCGGACAGCAAGCAGTTAATGAGTGCAGTGCATAAATGATGATTTTTTTCAGGAGTGTGGCTTTAAACTACCACTATGCTGCAGGTCAGCTTTTTTTTCCTGAGGTCTCCGTGGGCAGCACTTTCCCGATGAGGAGTGCAGTGGTCAGGACCTACCAAAAGTGGTCCAAGGAATGAAAACTGGTGAACCGGTGAGAGGGTCATGAGCGGCCAAGGCTCATTGTCGCATGGGGGGTGAAGGCTGCCCGTGTAGTCCAATCCAATAGAAGAGCTAGTGTAGCTCAAATGGCTTGGTGCCAGATACCACAGCATACCTGCAGAGGCCGGTTGGAGTCCATGCCTTGATGGGTCAGGGCTGTTTTGGTGGCATAATGGGCCTACTCAGTATTAGGAGAGTGGTCATAATGCTATGGCTGATTGTGTACTCATGCAAATACTCGGTATCGCGGCCGATACCGATGATTGTATCGGTGCATCCCTAATAAATACGGAAGCAGGTTGTTTACCACAACAGTATAACTGATTGTTTTCTGAAGATATGGGTAAACAACGCGATTTAACAGCCTTTGAACGTGGGATGATTGTTGGCGCTCGGGGCCATGGAGCGAGTATCAGCAAAACAGCAGAATTCGTTAAATGTTCAAGAGCAGCTGTTGTTAAAGTGTTTAAAGACTGGACTGTCAGCCGAAAATCTGGGTCTGAACGTGGGAATTGTGGCCGTCAGCGACTAGTCAATGTTAGGGCAGAACGTAGAGTGGCAAGACTGGTACAAGACAACTGAAGGGCAACAGTGCAGTGTCAGATTCCTCGCATTACCTTTCAACATCTCATTGAGTCACGAGGTGGCCCAACGAAGTCATCTCGTGGCCCAACGAAGTACTGATGGGGTGGTCATAATAATCTGGCCACTCAATGTATATACATTTGTTCACCTATACCCTAACCCTACATACTGTTAAAACCTAAAATATTTTTAACTATAACTTTTAAACGTATGTAGGGTTAGAGTATGTGTGGACACATTTATGAATGTTTAATTTATTGGTTCAATAAATTCAAGTAACATTTATGATAAAATAACTGTTTGTACTTTTTTATACATCATGCTCTAAAGACCCTCTTTTATTTTTACCTTCAATATATATTTTTGAACAGAAATCTCCATGGCTGTGTGACTTGGGCAGGAAAGGCACCTGTTCATTTGGATGTCACAGGACCACATTGCTGGTGAAATGCTGACTGACAAAGCTCTTAAACTGTTCTTGAGACATGACTAGGACAAATCATTTTATCTGTCTAATCTCATTGTCTGCCTTTCACTTGACTAAAACTGCGCATAATATAAAGCTCACTTGGAAAGGGGCTCAGGGCTTTAACTGTGGGATATTAAGACACAATCGCCTAGCTTTCATTTGTTCCTGAAATAATCTATATTTACTCTTATTCTGTATTTTAAAAGCTGCTAATGAGTATATTGTTTGTGTTTCTAGCTCTACTCTGTCTATCTGGAAGGCTTCATCCTCTTCAAAGTGCGATACAAAGAATTACATTTTTGGGATGAACAGGTGAATACTTTCAACACTTTAAAATCACAAGACATTTCTGATGCCAGTTTATCAACAATAAAAAAACAAGGTTTCCCAAATTGTCCCATATACCTTACATCGACACCCAATCTGGCTTAAAGAGAGTGTACAGACTTTTCATCTAGTTATTACAAGCAATGGCTTTGCTGTGCTTACAAAGAGGTTTTGCTTTACTGCTCCTTCTTACCGTGCAAGTCTGTGTCAGCTGACTCATTGAAAACAATGCACTCACTGTGTAGTCAAGATTGTCTCCTTACAGTTTTTAAGCAGTTAGGCAACATCATTGTAGTAGCTATTCTAAGCTGCCTTTAGTGAGTAATCATCAAATGTATACTTCATGGTAAACACTGCATAAACAATTCAAAGTATGCACAAGTAAAAAAATACCCAGTACTTATAATGGTTAGATTGGGAGGCACCTTTACTATCCCTATCTTTTTACATAATGACGGTAAGCTTACAAATAAATATTTGTGTGAATATACAGTGTCCATGGGGAAAACTTAAAGGCAAGTAGTGGGAGAGTAAAATATACTCTCCAATACCTAGAGCTGGCATGGTACCTTGCTGCTGTCACACACCCGCTCTGTATACCAAGACCTGAGCATTCATGAACCGCTGATCGCTCAGCTCACGGTCTTTGCCCTGGTAGAAAGTAGTGACTGTCAGTGACCGCCCCTGCAGGGTTCTCCCCTCTCTGTTCCTCCAGCACTCATTGGTGGGACAAACAGGCAAGTGGGTGGGCACAGTTGGCACTGGCTTTAGAGGGACCAAGCCAGCTGTGAATCAGGCAGCCGAGTGGATCCCCATAATATTGTCGTGATGCTTCCCGGGTGCAGTGAGGCTCTGCACTGTCGGAGCCGACTGGAAGGAGCCGCTATGTGCTGACTTTGGGTAAAAGGAGTACATTAGTAAATATACTCTTGTGATCCAAAATAGTAAAAAATGTTTGGCTTTTACCTATCTTTTAAGGAGTCAGTCCTATTTGAAGAATGTCTGGGGTTTCGTTGTAAGCAAGGAAGACCCACATTGTGGGTAGGCTTTTTTTTTTCTAGCACCCATGTCCCACTGCACATAGTTCTGTAGTTTCTGTAAGAGATACGTGTTGGTGATGAATATAGGTCCTTGCAACAATCTTCTGTTAAAAATAGAAACTACATTGTAAACACTGAATTCTTTGTTTTCCAACCAAAGAGTGAGCTCATATTTTGGAAACATCATAACACAAAAGTGTAACAAAGTTTGAATAGCTTGTTTTTCTTCATTCTGGAAATGTTTAAGTCCTTTAAGTTTTAATGTTCTAAGAGCCAACAATTGCTGGAATGTATGATATAAGGTATACCACACTTGTCAACGTGTCTAAATACCAAGGAAGTAAACTACACTAAATCTCTCTTGGAAAGTCCCCAAATTTACATACATAAGTAGGTTCACGCTGTCAATCCTCTGCTGTTGCCACAAATAAATGACACCCAGGGCAAAACAACAATACCCTTCCCAGAAGTGTGAACTTGACTTTCTTCGGTACCCTGCTGCTCTTTTATCTGCAACAGGAGTATTAAGGATTGGAGTGCCACATCACAGTATTGAAGTTCAAAGACAAGTTTCTTTCAATAAAACATTCATAAAAAGGCCACCATCAGCTGTTGACGAGCATGTCTGAAGGTTGTCTGTCCTAATACTGTGAATCACATACCCAAGTCCATTATTTATGACCTTCTATTCATTTTGGAGACCTGAGAAGGTGGTGGGTTTGAGGCCCCAAACAGGCCACTCTTCAACACTTCAGTACTTATCTCTTTCTTCATTCACAGTCCAAAGGAGCCTTGGAAGCCCTTTGGTTCAGGAGAACGGTCAGCTGCTTTGGGGACCCAGTGCCATCTATACACTCTTCTGTATTATCCGCAAGTCACTCCAGTCAGAGCTTACAGAGTTGAGGCCTTCCACTAAGAACCAGAGCTGTAACATGGATTAAGTCACATGCCCTTCCATTCTTGAATATTTTCTATGATGTTGGTGGCTGAACGGAGCAGGGTTGGAGTGAATGAAAGGGAGAGAGGCATTAAAGCAAATTGGCACGCCCAAAGGCAAGTTTACTTTATTATTCATTGCCTAGCTTGTTATTGGATTTCCTTACAAGGATAATTTAAACATGTTTAATCACAATTTAACTGCAGAATTGCTAGCCTATAATACTGTCTGGGTAGGAAAAACAAGCCAATCCATAGTAAGGCTTGTGTACCAACAGTCTGCTATTCGAGGTTTCAAACCAAGTACTGCCTATAGGGATACAATGATATATCGGGCGCCGAAACATATAGGCCGAACATTGAACTTTTGGCAAAATGCTGAAAGTGCAATTTTTCTGCCGATATAGCGGTGCATCCGTGTATTCTCTCCTCCCCACTGGGCACTGCTCTGTGTCCCAGTGCTGAGGAGGCGAGAAACTGTCGCAGTTGGCCGAGCGCTGTGGGAGGAGAGCGTTGTGAGCGGCCGGTGTTCTGTCGAGAATGCCGACCTGACCATCTGCGCTTGTGCACACACCGGGATGAACGAGGAAACAGCCATTTATTTACAAAGTATTTATTTCTAATTGTTAATTGTGACCGTTCATAATAACAATTAGAAATAAATACTTTGTAAATAAATGGCTGTTTCCGCGTTCATCCCGGTGTGTGCGCAAGCGCAGATGATCAGGTCGGTAAAGCCTCCTGTGACAGATCAGAGGAGAGCAGTGTGTGGGGGCGAAGACAGTCAGCGCTGTCACAGGAGGCCGGCCGGCGGTGCGGGGAAGGAGTCAGCTGTCAGATCGAGCTCTCCTCCCCGCACCGCTCGCTCAGCCTCCTGTGACAGTGTGTCAAGAAGGAGAGCGAGGTACAGACACTCAGTGATTGCTGAGTGTTTGTAAATAATTGAGGATATATTATGTTCACTATATCCACCATTATGAATGAATGGGAAGTGATCTACACCACCTCCTGTTCATTCATGATTGTGGTTATAGTAAACATACTCTGTCCTCATGTTATAAATGAACAGGAACACTCAGTATAGAGGATTCCTGTTCATTTATAACAGGGGATACAGAAAAAGAGATTGAGGACTCTGTGTTCTTAATCTCTTTTTCTATTTTAGAAGGGAAATATCAGGGGTCTGTTTAGACCCCTAATATTTCCCCTGAAGCATCTAGAAAATACAAATATTTACTAAAAAATAAAATGTAAAAAAAAATGTAAAGTTTATAAAAAAATAATAAAAATAACATATTTGAAAAACTTAGAAAAAAAAACATTCTCGGTTTCGGCCCAACATTTTTTTTTTTCCATTTCGGGTTTTAAAATTTCCATTTTGGTGCACCTCTAACTGCCTATAGTAAAAATTAAGTCAAGCTTGCTTAAAGTGGGTGGGTACACATAATGTGCAAACAGTTGCTCCATATGTAGGGGGAATAAATAGTGCCTGGTTGATATCTGGTCATTGATGATCAAATGTATATTGTCTGGGATGGATAGGTGGATAATATGGTTGGCTAGTGGGGGGGGTGTAAACATACACCTTTTATTCAGTCATGCATTTGGTTTGGGCATTATATATTCAATCCTTCTCAGATTTAAAAGCTTGTATACGAAGATCTCTTGAAAAAAATCCCAACTCCTGATCCTCCAGTATAAATAGATCTTATGTTATGGTTACATTAGAGTAGATCTAAACCCAAGCACTAAACATGACATATGATCTTATGATATGGTTACATTAGAGTAGATCTAAACGTGACATATGATCTTATGTTATGGTTACATTAGAGTACATCTAAACCCAAGCACTAAACGTGACATATGATCTTATGTTATGGTTACATTAGAGTAGATCTAAACCCAAGCACTAAACGTGACATATGATCTTATGTTATGGTTACATTAGAGTAGATCTAAACCCAAGCACTAAACGTGACATATGATCTTATGTTATGGTTACATTAAAGTAGATCTAAACCCAAGCACTAAACGTGACATATGATCTTATGTTATGGTTACATTAAAGTAGATCTAAACCCAAGCACTAAACGTGACATATGATCTTATGTTATGGTTACATTAGAGTAGATCTAAACCCAAGCACTAAACGTGACATATGATCTTATGTTATGGTTACATTAGAGTAGATCTAAACCCAAGCACTAAACGTGACATATGATCTTATGTTATGGTTACATTAGAGTAGATCTAAACCCAAGCACTAAACGTGACATATGATCTTATGTTATGGTTACATTAAAGTAGATCTAAACCCAAGCACTAAACGTGACATATGATCTTATGTTATGGTTACATTAGAGTAGATCTAAACCCAAGCACTAAACATGATATATGATCTTATGATATAGTTACATTAGAGTAGATCTAAACCTGATATATGATCTTATGATTTGGTTACATTAGAGTAGATCTATACCCAAGCACTATATGCTTGATATAGATGATATGAATAAGAAACTTTAACATATTCATGTAACTTCAAAAGTTATTATTGTGGGCTCTGATTGACAGCCTGGCTTCACCCTCTTTATGATGCATGAAGGGGCAAGATGGCAGCGCTCAACAGGAGAAAAAAATGGTTTCTGCAGACTAGAGAAGAGGTTTTGTACTTTGATTATGCACCAAATAGTTGTTTATTACCGTAGGTGAATAGTTCACATATAGCATTGATTTCTTCAAAAAAAAAAGAAAAAGATAAGGGTTGCGAAGTGTCCTTCCATTTATCCTGACATTGAGTTGTTTTTATTTGCCTGTATGATGTCATTCAGCAACATTTCACAGGTACGGTTTATGTCTCCTCCTTAGATGCACCGGATATTTGGAAACAGACTACCTTTATTCCCACCAAAATACTACCTGATGATGACCAAATCCATGGCTGAAGAAAGAAGGACAATGCTTGAACGCTATTTACAAGAAAGTAAATGTTTTCATACATTTGCATGCTTAAATGGAGAATTTTAATTTCCTCAAAATTTTGATGAATATGGAAAGAATTTTGTCGAAATTCATTGGAATCAATAGGGAATGTTTAGGTAGTTTTTGGTGGATTTTAAGAGTTGCAATGGCCATTAAATGGCTCCTTGGGGTATGGAAGCTGCTAATTCAATAGTGCTATCCCACCCCTAGTACAATCTCTCATGTTTAGTTTACTAATTTGTATTGAGTTTGTAGTCCAATACGAGAGTGATCTTGGAGTGGTGACTACTTTACAACACACACAGGGACCATGGGGAACAAAAGTAGCCACCCTCCAGAGGGAAGGACAATGTCAGTACCAATTCAGTGACGATTTGATGATTTGTGTTAATAGTTAAGTCCTTGAATGTATTTTTAAGATTTAAAGGAGAACTATGAGATGAGTAATTTCCACTCACCTCATAGTTCTAAGCCGACCTGTGACAATGAGACTGTCACAGGTCAGCTCAGTAGATCGGGAGGTGAGCGAACACATACCCGGTTCCCTAACCTCTCAATCCTGTCACGGCTCTCTGCCGTGACAGGGGGAGGGGTTGGATTCCCCTCTCCCCGCTCCGATCTGCCAGCGCTGACTGGCGGAACTGACGGGGGAGGGGGCGGGTACAGCTGGCTCTGCCTCTAGGTAGGCAGAGCCAGCTGTCACTCACGCAGCTGGGCGGATCCCGTCATCTAAGTCGGGATCCGCTCCAGGTGCGGCGTCTCAGTATACCGCGAGCTGTAGCTCGCGGTATACTGAGCTTAGGGTAACAGGAGGACGCTAGTTTGTGTCCTCCCGTTAC